ATTTTGCTTATAACTTTTTAAAATTTTCTTCTTTCGTTTAAAATAAAGAAATTCGTTACACGTTAATCTAGATAATACAAAAAAAAAAATATCATTTTTCATCTAAAATCCAGATGAAGGTAATATATTGTAATAACTTAGATAAAAATAAGGTGAATTTTTCATCTAGATTTTTATATAGATAATTTTACATATCAGCAAACATTGATGACAAGGCTATATTCCATACTAACACAATTGTGTAAACATACACGATTAAAAATTGTCTCTGTCTTTCTCTTAGATTTTAAGAGATAAAATAATAAATTATTTTTAAATAATTAATTTGATTTGTATTTTAGCAAGAATGTATAAATTTATTAAATTTTAATATAATTGCATTGTAATTTCAATATAAATTATATTAAATAATAATAATAATAAATTTATATTACAATTTTGTACATAGATTGGAAGCACAACGCGTGAAGGTCTTCTCGGCCAACGTTTGATTAGTGGTGCATAAGTGTAACGGCGAAATCCTTTCGAGAATACGTTCTTAGCGAAATCATTGATCGCGATGAGGACCATCGTTTTCAGTTTAATATTTTTCTTGATATCGGTATCGATCGCTGGATCAATCAATGATTGCGAGGATCCCAATTTTCACTCTTTGGAGACGTTAGAGTCATCCAAACTGGAGTGTGGTCCAGCTTTCAAGAATCGTTGTCGCTGCTTCCGAACATGCTATGACGGTCACCATCAGTACGTCGTGAATTGTACGGGAACTGGATTTCAGGATACATCCCCACTGGCGCATCTGCCTAATGAGACACAAGTGCGTAGACAATTGCGACCAAAGTCCGCGAACGATTCTATTACATCACGATATTAATGCGACAACGCGTTACATTAATATACGCAGGTACTCATCTTTACGGGGAACGAATTAGAGGAGCTGCCCTGGAACGTGTTCGGCACCTTGGATAACCTGCCGTATCTGAGGGTGATCGACATGTCGAATAACAAGATACGCGAGATACGCGGCAAGGCTTATCACCACGTGCAGCACGTAGAACGTCTTATACTGGACTTCAATGAGCTCTCGTTGGATCCCGCGAGGAATCATCCGAGAGTGTTCTCCAATTTCATTTCTCTTCTAGAGCTGCATCTGACCGACGCTTTCGAAGATGGTCCACCGAGGAATCTGGCGTCGACGCTCCACGATATTTTTGTAAACAGGTAAATCTCAGAAGAATATATAGTGGCAACTATATATATCTATACTATACAAGTTTTCTATACGTAGAATTTCTGCAGCATTTTTTATTTATAATTTTTCTTCCTTTTTTAATAAGAGTTAATTATCAATTATCAAAAAATCTTTCCTAGCAATCTCACGCAGCTGATAAAACTTCATCTCGAACAGAACGAGATCTCGGAGTTTCGAGATGTCAATGTATTCTGTGATCTACCGAATCTCCTTGATCTTCATCTCGGCGATAATAATCTGAATGCGCTGCATTTTAATTTGTCGTGCTTGCATAATCTGCGTTTCTTGGATTTACAACGAAACAAATTCGCAAGAATTCTTGAGCGCGATCTCCACATCATGGACAATCTCGCCAAGCACGATCGAAACGTAACCGTGGATTTTTCTGACAATCCTTTCGAATGCTCCTGCAAGCTCAATCCGTTCATCAAGTGGATGAAGAAGACGAAAGTGTTTATCCGAAACAAAGCCAACTTACAATGCTACAAGGGTATTAATTACTGATAAACGAGATTTTTTTTTTTTTCTTAAGGAAAGAATCCTATAGTAATTGTATGGGAAATTAGGTTCCGATAAATTGAGTTGGTTTTTCACATTATATAATTATAACTTATACAATTTGATGAAAGATGTGATTATCAGGTTTAATAATAGATAATTACTGAATTATTACTATACTATTATTTTTAGCTATTTTTCTCAAAGATGTAAAACTGTGATGTGCAATGTCATTTAACGTTATTTTATATCTTTTACGTAACATTAACAGTTAGATTGTTTTTTTTTATTAAGAGCATCAATATATAGCATCAATTTTATTTTATATATACAATAATATTTATCGTAAAATTAAAATTAAATGAAACATGCATTTAGAAGGATTTACAGAACGTATTAAAGCTTTGTCAGATATATATTAGACACAAGTTTTAAGTCTCTAATAAAGCAATGCTAAAAAATTGTTTATTATCGAATTTGATGTTTATGACATCTGCTATTCATTAGATTATGAGCTATTAATCATATGTGAAAATAAACTTATTACTGGGATCTAATTGTCCAATACAATGGGGTCCTTTTTTATACTCTATTCTCTTTATTAGGTAATGTAAGCTACGACTTCCACGAAACAAAGAATTGCGCTCCAAAGCTCCTAGTTTCCGCTCGGCGAGGAACCACGGTGGTACTTTGCTTCCTCTCAATAGTGCTGATCGCCCTGGTGTGCGCTTTAGTTTACCTACAAAGGACAATGCTTCAGAAAAAAATTGAGCCGGTGCTTGATTCGGTCAGCAAGAGGGTGCGATACACCTCAATAGCGAATGGTGATACTCGCGAGGATGTGTGAACGTAGAAAGAAGAGAGAATCTGCAAAATGATAAGTTTTTGCTTATCGAGCGATATCGAATTGTGATTAATGCTATTTAGTATTCAATTTAATATTACGATATGTAATCCGTTTATATATATAAATAAATATTATTTATTACAACATCTCTAAAATTTATTTCTTAAGGATCACAAAAAGAACGGATTTGTTAAAATATATAAAAATTAGGCCAGATGTACATCAAAGAATAATTATGTTGAATCATCTAAATTATATTAAATGCTTAAGTTGATTGTTAAAATATCAAAATTTTTTGTAGCATTTTTATTAGAGATGCAACGAATATCCGGCAATTAAACAGTATTAGAGCTACTATTAGAGTTTCGAAAATCTGCATAGGCACCTGCGTCGACAAATGACGTGATATTTCTTTCTTATCAATGGCTATCGGAGCGCCGACATCTTAGTCGAGATTAGATAATGCGTATAATATGTTTTAAGCTATCTTGAGATTGCTGTTTGTTCAAAGCGAGGAAGTATTGCGGAATCGCTTTAACGAATTACGAATGTCATATTGTTTTAATTCTTTGCATAAACATCGCGCCGTGCATTATACTTGTGGAGCATTTGCATCGAGCTCGACAGAAAAGATGCCACTCGTCGAGCGACTTCGTCTCGATGAGATCGTCAGTTCATACCCAGAGCTCGGACCGACAGCTCCGGATGGTGGATACTCGTGGTTTGTTCTTCTAGGTGTTGTCTTCATTCAGGTTCGATCGCCACATGTGTATCTTAATAACAAAGTTGCGTTTTTATTCAGAAATCAGATTTCGGCGTGATCCTACATTTAGCATTAAATACTCTGTGTGTGTGTGTGTGTATGTGTGTGTGTGTGTGTGTGTGTGTGTGTGTGTGTGTGTGTGAGTGTTGCTCTTTTTTAAATTCTTTATTAAAATTATATCACATTTGTTTATATATATGTTAAAATTGATAGAATTAAAATTATTAAACGTAACTGGATAACGAAATAAAAAAGAAATAGTAGGTATTTTGACGCAATACAAGGTATTTAGAAACATAACATATAACCGAGTAAGTTCCAAGAAATAAATCAAACACTTAAAATAAGTCAATGTAAACCAACACAATATTAATGAATAAATTACAATTAGACGTTTCAATCTTATTTTGGGTTTTTTATCTTCAGTACACTAAAGGTTAATAAATATTTCATTTACAATAAAATCAAATTGTTCAATTGAAGATGTTCGAATGATGATTTTTAAATTTGAATTAATTTCACAATGTGCTTCGAGTTGATATTCATCTCAACAATCTAATTTTATTGTAAATGAAAGATTTATTAATCTTTTATAGTGTACTGTAAATACATTGTAAATGATTCAAAGATAAAGTTGAAACATCTAATTAATTGTAGTTTATTTATTAATATATATATTTTATACATGAATATTCTATATTGGCTGACATTAGCTTATTTTGAGTTTTTAATATACATAGCAATAATGTATTGACATATATTGCAGTATGTTTTACTTTATTCATTATGAGTAAATGATGCGCTTTGTAATGCGTTAAAAATAATTTTGTTCCAGATGTTACATTGTTTAAGATGTAAGTTCGCTGGATATAAGGAATGCACGAATCAAACAATGATTTTTCGATAACAATTTGTTATACGATAGAGTAAAGGTGGCTATAAGAGTATGCATCATTTAAATCAGTCTAAGAGTACGCATAGTTGAAATCTCGCAACAGTGATTTAGTTGGTATTACAAAGTCTTAATGCAAAGTTGTAGAAAATTTACTATATTATTTGATTACGTCTCAGAAATAAAGGTAAGTTAATATTTTATCAATTGTTACAATAATTTTTTGTTTCTAGATTTTAAGTGTTTTATTGTCATTGAAATATTCAATAAAGAACTTCTTGTATATCTTATTTTTAAAAGGTACACTTTCTATTGTTTATAAAATAATATATAATTGTTATATGTCTATTTTTTGTATGTTGCAAACATTTATCAATTTTTTAATAAATTGTTTACATGTCATCCACAGTACAGAATTTGCAGTAATATTGCAAAACTTTGCAATATTATTGTAATATGCAATGTTGCTGCAACTTTTGTGCAACTTTGTGCTGTAGTTACCATATTTTTTATCTAAATATGAATAACTAATAAATAACTAATGACTTTATGTCATTAAAAATAAGTAGTTTTTGAAATTATTATTGTTAAAATTTTTAATTACATTTTATATAATAGTAAATAAATTTATCGTAAAACATATGTATTAAAATTTATTTTTTTCTTTTGAATTGTTCTATATATTATATACATATATACATATCTGTATTTTCTTAAAGTAATGAGAAAATATAAAAAGAATAAACTGAAAGAAAACTTAGCTTAAGAGTAATAAGTAATTAAATAAAGAATTAGTTAATTAAAGAGTAGTCTTATTTTTCAAAGTTTAATGCTTAATATCAATATAATATGTATATAACGCTTAATATCAATGTAATATAATGTAAATTTTTGCGAATACATTTTTTAGTTTTATAAATTGCGCGTCAATTAAATTAAATTTATAGGTTTTTATAAAATACTTATTAGCATTGTTATTAAAATTGATGATCAATCTAATCTCTCTTCAAAATATTATTATTCCAACTTCAATTTATGAATATATATTTTATTGTGTTTAAGTCCGATAAACTAAATAGATGTATAGTTTATATATAATTTATATTGTTTATAAGACTGAAAAAAAATATATTTGTACAAATTTACATATAGACAGATAAGAATTTTCTAATTAAATATTTACTATCAAGTGAGAAATAACAAATGGAATCAATATTAAATCGACGTCGAAATCATCAAATTGATATGTCAAACCGATGTCATTTCTTACCGGGTAGAATTCTAGTTAAGATAATTATTGATATAATTATTCTAATAAAGATAAGAATTTTGGTAGATTTTATCAGAAATATTGTATCAACCAGAATTCCGATTATCTCTACAACTAGAATTCTAATACATTTATTTAAAAAATTCTGATTCGTCCATTTTCAATCAGAAATTTTTTTCAATGCATACAAAACCTATTCTGGTATTAAAGGAAAAATATTTATATGCAATTACTGTTAAATTGCGTACTTGTGTTCGACATTGTATACACTTATCCGACATCATTGCATACTCTCTTAGACGTCCTATCGGGTAAGAGTACGCAGTTTTTCGTTAATATTATTTTATTACTTTAATTGATGTTTAATTTTTAATCTTGGTATCCTGGTATTTTGTTATATGTATACATATAACAATTTATGATTATGGTTATTATTATGTTTGCAAGACTCTTAATATGCATTCTATGTAAACAAATTATGTTTATTTTTAAATAAAATTGTATTATAGGTTAAAAGTTTATTTAAAAAAAAAATGTACGTACTCTTATCTGCCTTTCCTCTACGTATATCCATATTATTAGTGTTTATATTGTAATAAGTAAGTTCCAAGTATTTCTACATTTTTTATATACGTTTACTAAATACCACATAGTGCCTTTCTTGGAAAAAAAATTTCTAATAGTATCTTTTTTATATTTTTAATAATTTTATTGCCATTTATTCAGTATGTTTAAAAATTTCTCGTACTTTAAATTTATGAAAATTTCTATAAAATACATCTTAAACTATTTCAGATTTATATGTTTTTTTTTTTACAAAAATTATATTATAGAATGATAAATGTTAGAATATTTTAGCATTTATATATTTATATAAAGAATTGCAGAAAAAATATAGATTTCCTTAACAATTCTGAAAAGTATTCTAATTCGTATAAAAAAGTATAAGAATTTTTTTTATATAAAAACAAAGAAGGGCTAATGAGAGTTTATTCGCGGTACTTCGTGCGAGAATAAAAATCAGTTTATTACAAATTCAAATGAATATAATTAAATAAGCATAGATTTTTTCGGTTTGTCTTCGCGAGCCATCATCAATATGTCTAACATTTATTACAATTTTCTATATCCTTCATGGTGAGATAAAAGAGCGACAAATCAATCTCATCTCTATTACATTGATACGAGGTTGGCAAGTCAAGTGGCAACAAATAATAGATGAAAGTCCGTATGGCATGAAAATTATAACATCAAAAATTAATTAAAATTAAAATTAATAAAGATTCGCTGATTATCCATAATATGTGAGAGACATTCGCGACAAACGTTCTTATATAACGGTTAACAATCGAATTTTTATATTTGATATTCTCGAGAATTGTTATTTGTTTTAATTTTTTTTTAATCAAAATTATATTAGTTAAATTTTTATAATTTGCCAAATTATTTTTAAGAATTTTTAATATTTCAACTTTATAAAGATTTCTGAAAAATATCTTAAATTTCTTTAAATTTTATTAGAAATTAGAATACAAAAAATATTTCTCATATGTCATATATAGGATGCATTTAAATTTAAAATACTTGAATATTTTAATTTTAATAAAAAGCAATTAAAAATAAAATATTCCAGAAAATATATTATATTTCTTGAAATTATAAAACTCATGAAATAACAAGCTAGTTAAAACCATTTTTAAATACTAATCGGGTTATTTAAAAATGGTAATCGGACAACGTTCAGATCACGTTTAAACCACCAGTTCTCGTCCGATCACTGAAGTTAAGAAACGTTGAGCACGGTTAGTACTTGGATGGGTGACCGCTTGGGAACACCGTGTGACGTTGTCCCTTAATTTTTTATTTTTTTCCAAACTAGAAAAAGGAAATGGAAAAAATACAAGATACGAAATAAGACTTAATTGATTTTAATAATTAATATGTATTTTTACACGCAGAATAATTAATTAGAGATATCATAATTAGAGATATCATTTTACGTGAAAAATTATATAATATAAATATCGATGACATTTATAATTATAAAATCGATTTTTTTTGAAAATTGATTTAATCATATTATTTGTCCCCTTTTTTAGACGATACAATTTTTTTTCCTATAAAACATTTTTTTCTAAAATGTTTTTTTTTTTTTCAAATATTCAAATGTCTTAATTTAAATGCTTATATATAAAGAATTCTAAAAAAAGTAGATTTTTTCTAAAAAAAAAAATTCTAATTTGTATAAAAAATCTAGGAAATTAAAAAAAATTTAAACATTAGCCTCATAAAATAATTTTCATAATATCTAAATTTTCATAATATTTAAAAAAATTTTTCATATTTTAAATTTATATAAAAATTTTTGAAAAATAACTTAAACTTACTTTAGATTTTATGTATTTTTTTTAAATAACAGATATAATCAGTACCTAATCTTAAAATATTTTTTCGAATTTATTTACATTCACATTAAAGAATTTTAAAAAAACATACAGATTTTCTTTTTAGAAAGTTAAATGTTTCAATTGATATAAAAAAATCTAAGAATGCTTTTTACAAAGTTATGAAATTATACAGAAATTCTGAAATTTATATACAAATTCTGAAGGATATAAAGAATTCTAAGAAAAATTTTTACCAGAAATAAAAAAGAAAAATAAATAAATAAATTTGCGAAATACGTTTGTGGAATACTATGCTATTGAAATGTATAGATCACCGTGCCTAGCGTCCTGTCGATGTACGGCATAGTACGAGGATATTTAGTCAGCAACGATCCATCGCTTTACTTCGATCTGTGGAGCGAGGTCACTTTGGCGCCTCTATTATTCGTTGCTTTTTGGAGCTTAGCAGGTATTCATTTTATATCAGTGTTTATTTTATATAGTATTTATATCGGTTCCTTATTATCATCAACTTCCCCTATTTTCAATTTTCCAGATCCATGGACCAAGGCCATCACGGATCTAGCGTCGATTCCACGACTGGTTGGTATCATCGGCGTGGCTCTTCTCACCACGGGTGTCATAGCTTCCGGATACTTGGCGACCGGTGGAATGGGCGCATATTTAGCCGGTTTGAGTGCCGGTGCGGTGATGGGCATAGGGGCGAGTTTCGTGATTGTTGAAAGCGAAACCGTGCTGCGAAAACATTTCAGGGTGAGACTGCCGTTGGTGCTGATGCTGAAGAACATTGCCATGTCCATCGGCTTCACTCTTGTGCCGGCACTCACACAGTTCCTGCTTGCGAAAACCGACCTAAAGACAGGACTTTTGCTGATGACGATTACCTTTATTCCTACTGCCTTAGGCACTCTGATCTTGCGCTTTCCAACTCCACAGCGAGCATCCCCTTATAGGTAACAACAGAGGATATTCTTATCCCGTTTCTAAATTGAAACTCTCGCGCTAATTTCTAGTTAAAGCAAAGAATCGTCTGTCTGAAATTTCTCTTAATTCATTAAATCAAGGAACTATTACATACTTTTTTATTTTAAATCCTTGTAACTCGGACTCTAATCAAAATTTATAGACCGTAATTGGTATTTATTTCCAAAAATTTAGTCAGCGATGGTATGAAATATTTTTAAAAAAGATAAAGATTGTAAGTAGAGATAAAAAATCTTTTTCTTTGTTGACAATTCAACTATTAAATTAGTTTCATCTTTTTGAATAGAATAAATCGATGTATAATTATATTATTTAATACCATCTATTTTTTTCACTTATATTTCTTTCATTTATATTTTAATATTTATATTTATATTTTCACTTTCATTTATATTTTAATATTTATTACAGTTATATCAATTACAGTTTAAAAAATTTGATTAAGCCTCAAATTATAAGAATTTAAAATAAAAATGGACATATGTGTCTTCTGAGATTAATGGATTAAAGAGATCTTAATACTGCAATCTTTTAATATTGCAAAATGTTGTACTTTCGTAAAGTACAACATTTTGCAGTAAGTAAAATTATGCATACGACAAATTGTAGATAATATCGCGTTTTCATCAACAGATTACTTCTGACCGACGAGGATAATGAATTGGGCAGGATATCTTCGGATAAAGAATTAGAGTTTGATCAACGGAATAATGGTACAGATAACATCGGCTACGACAGTGACAAACAGGACAGTAATGTAGGGGCTTTGTTTAGCGAGGTGAACAGCATCTACACTTATCAAGAAGCGGACGAGGACGTCGAGCTCTTCGTCAATCCGACCGTGCAATCCGACGGCAAGTGGAAGCAAGAGTTTCATGTGGCTCGCTATTTCAAATTTTGGGCGGTCATGGTGACGTGGACTGGGATGAAGTCCAGCTCACTCTTCTTCTGGATTCTGATACCCAGCTTATTTCTGCAACGAACGGAGCCATTTTATTGTACTGACTGGGTAACATTGTTGGTGGCTGCAGGTGTTGGTTCTTTCATACCCAGCATCGCTAGCTATTGGTTCATCGTCACTACCACTCAGTATAGAAGAATATATTTCGGCGGCGCCTGTTGGCTTAGCAGTATTATTTTGTTAAGTGCGTGAGATGTGCATAAATTTTGCTTTTCTTCAACATTTCGAAATGATATTACATTAATATACACTCTTAAAAAAATGTGGATTTAACATGCGTCTATACGTACGTAATTCTTATTATGTTGGTGTTAATATATAAACACTAGGATTTTAAATATATCCATACCATATATTGTAGTATCAGCACTAATGTGGTGAAAATTATATAAGCGCCACATATTTTAAAAAAAGGTGTGAATTTAATACTTATACGATCTATATAATTCTAATTCCTTCCATGTTAGTGTTAAATTAACCAACGTGATATGTTTAAAACTGCTGATGTTTATATCAACATTATCATGATATAGATTTAACACCATGATAGGTGTGTAAATTTAAAACCCATGGTGTCAAAATCATATCATGTTGATATTAATTTAACATCAATACAGTGAGATTATATAGATGCTGCATGATGTTAAGTTCACACCGTTATTTTTTAGAGTGCATGATATCATCCCATGTTTTTTAAAGTGTAACGTTTAATGATATTTCATTAATATTAATCAATCTTAATATTCATTGTTAATATACCGAATTGTTAAAACGCGAAATAAGACGATCGATCTCATTGTATTATTTTAATTCTCACCAATTTCTTATCTTATAGGTTTAAGTTATACATTTAACTATTACTGGTTTCTAACGTGTTCGCTGTTCGGTGGTGTCGGCATCAGCACTTTGCTCGTCTGCCAAGACTTAGCGCTCTGCGACGTGCTTGGAAATCAATTTGCGCATCACTCTTACAGATTGTTGTCTACTATCGTCGGACTGAGCGTGCTGGCTTTTTGCTTTATACACAGTACGTATCTTGAAACATCGATGTTTATTTGTTCTCTGTTTTTTTTGCCATTTTTTTTGACAAAGATTTATAAATTTAATTTCTTTAGTGTACGCAATGCGCCTAATACAATAGTAATAAATAATATACGGCCAAAGGTCTATAAAATTTATACAATCTGATGATTGCAGACGAGAACATATGCCTTCGCATAGTTGCATTGCTGCAATTTCTTGGTGGATGTTATTGGATCGTGCCACCCATCTGGGAAATCATACGTGCGGGGAAGCTGAGAGAAGGCTAACAAAAATCATTATATGCTGCAATAATTCGTCAATATTTAGAGCGTTAACATTGATGATAAAAAACACGATGAATTCTTAAATACCTTTCAATAACAAGAAATATTCTTCTGGAGTAATCGTAAGAATGCGAGTACGAATATTTCGTATGTAATTTGTGTAATTGGAATATGTAACTATTTAATCCTTTACGTCATACATTGATTTATGAATTGCAATTGATTTTGAATTATCAAGAATGTAAGGCAATATTGCACGCAATGAGGAGTGAACCTTGCATTTCTTATAATTTAGACGAGGTGCAATAGAATAAATATTTTTACATTGTATGATTGTCTAGGTGTGATCACAAATAGTATCGTAAAACTTTTATTAAAATATCTCTTTAATTATCGTTAACGTCAAATTAACAATGCACGGTATTATCACTGTGATTTATACTGTCTTATTTAATTAACAAATTTATTCTATTAAACTGTCCATCATCATCATTTTGCAATACGAATGTGAATTTTTATTTCTGACATATTTTTGCCTACTAAATACGAATCCGTTGATAAAATTTGGCTAATTACAATTTTAAGAAAAATGGCGTCAAAGAGGCATTATGATACCTTATGGTATTTATAATATTTTATTTTTTACTTAATTTATTGTATTTATAAAATGTATTCATAAAAACTAGATCTTATCTGATTTATCTTATTTTAAGACATACTTGATTACCCCAAATAGCACAGAATATTCTATGAATATTCTTATAAAATATAAATGTCTTTAATTTCAAAATATTTTAATTAAGTATTCTCTGAATGTACATAGAATATTCTATTTAGAAATTTATATTTTTAACAAGAAGATTTATAAAAAGAAGACAAAATGTTCCTTACGATATTCGAGTTAATGAACTCTATGAGCGCAGTATACTATAAGGACAAGATCAGGCCCATATAAAAATAAATAGAATATTTGTGTGCTATCTAGAATAATACCAGAATCAACAATATTATTAACAAATTATTAGAACCCTTCTAAATGCTTTTTTATAATCTTTTTATTAATTGCAATTTTGATTATAAATTGCAATATTGATAAATATACGCCGACGAAAAATGTCGATATGATAAAGGATCCTCCACGATATAAAATCTTCGTGTATTCACAAATTTTTTTCATATTCATGATTTGATTTCTTATCACCACAGTTATCATTGCCAGTTTCTTAAATTACTTATGCCAGTTTATAATTGCCAGTTACTTAAACTTTTAGCAATAACTACTTTTGGCAATATGTATATGCACATATATCAGATAGATATATAATAATTTAATTAAAACTATACTTACGTTAGAAAGAATATGTTTATATATACAGAGAGATGTTCATCTTCTCATCGCTCAGATGGGTAATACATGGAAAATGAGAAAATGATAGAGATCGATATCTCAAATGAAAGTTAAATATTAAAAGAACATGTCAGAAAAATTTGTTTCGAATTTTTCTGTTTCACATACCAAATGTTTTCATTCTAATACTGCCGTAATTTTAATTTACCAGACAAAGACATGATAGCGCGTGAATATATTTTATATATAGATATGTATAAAACATTCAACATAATTTTTACAAAACTAGTTCATAATTATTACTAGTTAATAATTGTTGTAACTATGATGTAAAAACTTACTTAAAAAATTTGCTTAAATGATAAAAGTAATACCACAGACTTGCGCCTTGGGGATGGGTGATACAGAAAAAAATCTCGATATTTTGTATCGCAATGTATAGTGAGCAGAAATATTGATACACCAAAATATCGACTGAATAATTTATTACTGATATTGCTGATATCAGTATTGATTTAATATTTTTATTTTTATGATATGCGTATCGATATGCGCATCAATGCGTAAAAAAATTGATCTTTTTGAAAGAAATCGTTTTTGAGGCTATTTCATTGATCTTTTTGAATAATTATTCTAATTAGAATTTTTTTAAATCAGATAACACACATTTGGACGTCCTTCCTAGCAAGAAATGAACTTATCAAATAGATGTCAAATCGACGTTGAATTAATATTTTGATTCGGCATCAATTTGATGTTGAAGTGACGATCATTTCTCGCTGGGTTGTGTGGGCGCGACAAGTATCGTTACATTCTGTGCGCTCTGCATAGGAGACAATAGAAAAACTAATCTAATCTAAAGTTTAGTAAATTTTGCTCTGATTGATCAATTTTCAATCCAATTTCAATTAGTATTAAACTACTTAATACTTAACGTATTAAAAATTCGTATTCCTATTCAAATGTCGATATACATAAGTGTCGAAATACAAAATATCGAGAAAAGTCGATCCAAAAATATCGATATTTAATATATTGGTGCTGTATCGCTCATCCTTATTTGCACCTTATGAAAAGAGAACACAGTCTTCCGACCGCGAGCGTAAATAAAGCTCATTCAAACCTAGGCCTGTATTCTGTAACTCGTTATGCAGTCCTTATGTGCTCATAACGACAGTTGCACAGCTTTTTTACTATATAAAATATTTGCAGTTACAGAATACAGGAGCTGGGCAGTTAAAAACGAAACGCGAGGAAACGCTACGTCGAATTTTTAGGTATCGCCTAATTCCGGATCCTTGTCTATCACTTTGCTAGGTCCCGGATTGTCGCACGACTTAGGCAGGAAGCCATTGGCTGTCCGACTCGAATGAGGCTTTATATTCCAGCTTACTGGCCGCGGCTGATTTAGCTCGTCATATTCCGATTCATTGTTCTGCTTAATCTCATCATAGACGTGTTCAACTTTCTTGCCGTCCATCTCATCGATGCTGTGATACACATTCAAATTTGGATTTCCCATATCGGCATCTCTATTCTTCAAATCATATTGCAGCCCGTATGCTCCTAAGCAGTAATAAATTGATGTAGTCGTGTTTTCTTTATTTTATTTTATCGTTAATGGAAATAATATACCTTTACAATCGTCTTCATCATCAGTACAACTGCCTAAACCAAATTTAGCCTTCTCAGTGTTTATATTTTTGTGGAAATTATTCCGGAATTGGAAGTTGTTCAGCAACGTAGTCGTGCCATCGTCGAACTTTGAGGACCCTTGATACGCATATACTGGATTGTCGAATTGATTTCGATCTATGGCAAAAGTTATAATATTTTAGATTTCTGTGCTGGAAAATTAAATTCTTCGGCGATTGTATAAATAAATTTTTAATTTAATAAAATTTTTAATTTTTACGATCAAAAATAAAGAAATACTTAATTTACCTGGCGGAGATACAGGCTCAGCTGTGTATTGCACCTGAGCTATCTCGCTCTTGAGATCAGCCACTCGGCGACGATGGTACATCCATGCAGCGAATAAAACACCAATTATAACAATAGTCGCAAATATGGCTCCTACAATATGCCCGTATCCGCCATCTTCCTTCTCTTGGATATTACGAGAGAATAGCTGCTCGTCACAGTTCTCACCTAATAAAAATAATTTATCAGTCACTAGCGGGAAACCCACAATTTTTTATACAGAGTTACTTCTTTAAGAGCGCACTTTAATAATGTACCTGTATATCCATGCCTGCAAATACAACCTTCAGCTGGATGACACATGAAGAAATCGTTTTTACATTCGCAAGATTCCATACAATGGTCACCATAATATCCTTCCGGACAAACTGAAATTGGCAAATATCGTATGTAAATATAAATTTATTAATAGAGGTTCTTAAAGGTTCTGTATATTAATCCGTATATATTAATA